GCGTCATGGTGCAGCCTCGGAGTGATACCCAAGTGGGCTTGTCGTGTAGTTTGGTTATGGCTTCCCAGCTGGCCAGACGACTTGCTGGCAAATTCTGATGTGTTTCTGCAGTTGCTCAGATGGTTATGTGGTGGCAACGGTCCAGCTGCTGGTTGCACTGTGCACGCGCCGCGCAGCCACAGGATGTACTGCATTGGGAACGCTTCAGTTGTCCCGTCAAATGGTCAGCATGGGCTGATTGCACATTTGGCCGAACCCATCCACTTCTCACAACCGCCAGATCTGGATAACGGCGGCAACAAGTTCCGATACCGCATGTTCTGGCGCCCGCCGCTGTGGTGCATCCGTTTCGTACAAGTGCTTGTGCTCCCAGAAGTCCGACGGCCTCTGCCAGCGGAGTCGCTCGTGCTGACAGTGCGCCGACCGATGGCGGGTGCGAGGTGCGACCGTGCCCCGCAGCACGGGTCCAGTACACATCGCGGACCTTGGCCTGCTCTCCTCCTCCTCCTCTTCCTCCTCCTCCTCCTCCTCAATCCTCCTCCTCCTCCTCCTCCCCATCTTAGTCTTCCGCCTCCTCCTCCTCCTCCTCCTCTTCCTCCTCCTCCTCCCCCTCCTTCTCCTCCTCCTCCTCCTCCTCCTCCCCCTCCTCCCCCCCAGCTGGCGCCGCGCACGCCCAGGCGGCAGGGGCCGCAGCGCAGGGGACTGCGCCGTGCGGGCCGCTGCTCTCTGCCAACGGCGCGCGCCAGAAGCGTCGCCAATTCCCAGAGCACTGGGGCCGTCGTTGCTTTCCTCGGAGCTCTATCCGAAGGCAAACAAAAACCATAAACATAAATGTTTGGCGCTCCGCGCGGAGCGCCAAAAGTTTTTGTTTATGCAGTTGTTGTTTCTATATGTCGCGCACGCGCTTTGGAAAGGTTTGCTCTGAGAGTTGTTTGTCCTGCCATCTCTGGCCGCCTGAGCCGCAGTGAGTCGGGCTGTTGCGGCTGGCATGACCAAGCTCAATCCGACCTCGTTCTTCCCCGCTGGCGAAGGGACGCTCTTACAGATCTCCTGTATAGTGCGCTGGCTCGTGCGAGCGACTTCCTGTCCGAGGCCCCGGCGACCATGGCTAAAAGAAACGTCAGGAGGCTGCTGCGACGCTTGTCTCTGCCCTTCCACCACCGTTTGCACCTTCACTTGGCACGCTGTGAACCCCCGGGGAAGACGTCACCTCGAAATCCCTCCCTGGATCACTCCGTGGCCGCAGGGGTCTGGGCTCAGACCCCTCAGCATCTTCGCTTCCACCTCCTCCCCGTCCTCCTCCCTCGTGACGAGATAGGAGGGGGGGGGAGTTGGCGGCCTGAGGATGCGGACTGCGCGGATTGTCTCCCCACATCTGGACCGGGTGCGAAGATGAACGAGAGAGGAAGGTAGGGAAGCGTTCATGCTGACAGGGGCCAGAAGGCGCTGACATGGATCCTCCGGCGCGTTTTGGGCCAAATGCGGTGCTGACTGTCTCTTGCAAGGGTCGAGAAGAATTTGGGGTTCCATGCAGTTCGAGCTCTACGGTGGTCCGACCATGCTTCTGCCCAGTCGGGATTCAAGAAATTCCACGATGGACGAGGACGCAGACATGCCGCGCGCAGGGCTGCATCGTCGTGCGAAGCCGCCATCTTTGCGAGCGGTCGTGGGGCCCTGGAGGCTTCCGACAGCGGAGACGCCCGCATGACGCGTCCGCGAGTGACGCAGCAGCTTCTGCAAAAGGGTTTCCGCAGTTCTTCTGCCCGAGGGTGCATTCCGCTACGGCGTACGACATCCGGACCTGGAGGTTTTTGGCACGACGCCGCAGCCTTACTTTGTTGAGTGGGAGCGGGCCCAGTAGCCTCTGCGCCTCTGCGCCAAGCTGTCGGATGCGACGTGACCATCGTCACGGACGATCGGGACCTTATTCAACTGAGCAATGGGTGGTTCACCTCTCTGGAGTCGATGTGTTATGTGGCCAACCCTTTGCTCTCCATTGCTCTTGCGCAGTGATTTTGAGCGAGGATGTCTCGTACCTCATAAACCTCCCGTCGGGTGATGAGGAGGTCGTGGGGGCCGACGCCACCTTAGACCTGCATCAGACGCACAAGTCAATTCACGAGTGGACATATATCAGGACATCACTAGTGATTTTTGTCTACAAAGCTGTTGACATACATGTATGTGTATGCATGTGTATAGATACGTGTGGTTGCACATCTGTAAGCATATGTATATGCGTGTTTGCATGCATGCGTGTGTGTATGTATGCCGACATGTAGCATGATAGATCGGTCCATACACCTGGCATTAAACGATTGGTCTCGCTCGATATCGGTCTCACTATCTGCCTACCGATATCACTATAAAACTACATGTCGATATCAGTAGCTGTCTGTCGGGGCAACAATTGGGACAATGGTCGATCTGCCCATCAGTCCACCTCCCTGCCGATATGTATGTATGTATATATATATATATAGGTACAAGTGTAAAATACGTGGATGTGCTTAGTTATCTAGCCATTAATACTCACGCAGGACGAAATATTTTCCACTTGAGGTGCAACTGGCGATTATAACTTGGAAGTCAATGACGGAACCCCCTTCCCCGTATAATTTTATCACGGGCGGGTTCTGGGGCCCGCGGATCCGATTTCTTCCGGTTACCCGCTTTAATGTATATAAAGTTAAAACGGGATAGACATCGGATCCGCCGTAACAAATAAGACCGAACACGGATCCAGCAAATCCGAAATCGGATCCGCGCGCACGGAAATCGGATCCACCGAAACAAACACCACAGCCACACTCGGGTCCGCGCGAGCTTCATGGGAACCGACGGCGGTTATCGCACACGCGTCTGCTCAAGACTTCAAGCCGCCGCTCCGGGCCTGGGAGGGAAAAAAGACTTTCGTCCTGGGGATGTATGGTCCAGGGCTTGGGCCCCCCCCCCCCCCAATGCTGATGCCATTGGGCCCCCCCCCCCCGCGCGATGGTCCCCCCCGCCCCCCCCTGTGGGCGTGGCGTGGTGCTGCGCTGCGGTGCCCCCCTCCCCCCCCCTGTGGATGTGGTGTGGTGCTGTGGTGGTTCAGAGGTGGGCGTGGCGTGGTGCTGCGCTGCGGTGCCCCCCTCCCCCCCCCTGTGGATGTGGTGTGGTGCTGTGGTGGTTCAGAGGTCGTCGTCGTCGTCGTCGTCGTCGTCGTCGTCGTCGTCGTCGTCATCGTCTCTGGGACCATACCATCTGGGGGGGGGGCCCGAGGAATCCTGGGACCATACCATCTGGGGGGGGGGGTCCGTGTGCCCTCGACCCTGGATCATGTAATTATGCGTCTTTTTGCCTCCACCTCAATCAATCGGGGAGGGACAGAACCCCCAACAGTGACACGTCTATCAGTGAATTGTCCGTTTTCGGCTCTCGAGAGGGCGCCGTGGTCGTCATTTTCCAGGCTTGCGCCCGCCAGGTTTGGGCCTCAGGTGGTTTTCACTCAGCCACGTTTTGCTAAAGGGGGGCCTGCCCATCCCCGCATCAAGAAGCGTACGCCCTTCCGCCGACACCCAGGGAAGGGGCTTACGTCCACGGGTGGGGCCGGCCTTTAGGGGCCTCGTGGGGGACCCTCTGGTGGCCTCCCGTGTGGGCATTTTGGGGCGCCTTGGGGGTTTCTCGGGCGCTTGCTCTGGCGGTCTCGGGGGGCCTCCCGGAGCGGAGGGCTCAGAGTGCCAGGTCGGGCTTCCTCTCTTGGGGCCCCTCCTGGGGCCCACGTTGGGGCTCTCTCGGTCCATGTTGGGCGCCCCTTGGGGGCCGTCTTTGTGCCCTCTTCCGCCGCCTTGGGGCCTCACGAGCCGCCTTGGACGCTGTCAAAACTCCGACTGCGAGCATGCTCAGGGTCTACACGCTTCCCCTTTGGACTTTGACGATTCTTACTTCTGGGGTCCCCCTCGGGGGCCACCTTGGAGCCTTCTCGGGGCGTCTTCGAGGCATCTTGGCCAGTCTTGAGGCCACTTGGCATCGCTCGGACGTGTGCATTTTTTCTCGGCGAAAACCATCGAGGACCATCCTGGACCATCGAGTAAAAAAAACACGCACGAAACCGACAAATGCACGGGAACTGGACTTCCGAGCGACGGCAAGGCCATCGTGGTCGTCTCTGAGGACTCCTCGGCGTGTTGGCGCCCAGCTAGGGCCAGCTCAGAGGGCATCTTGGGCACCCCGGAGGCGACGCAGCGTAGATCTTGGGAGTCCGGAGGCCCCCAGGGTGCGTTGACGAGCCCTCCCCTCCCCCATCTATCAGCCCATCGCCTTGGCTCAATATTCATATCTGCTGTATTTATCGGGAGTGGACAGACCTCCTACCCTGACACGTCGATTTAGGAATTGGCCGTTTTCGGTTCGCGAGAGGGCGTCGCGGCCGTCATTTTTGCGGGTCCAGGTCCGTCGGTTTCGGTCCCAAGCCGTTTGCACTAAGGAGAGGTCTACTAAAGGGAGGTTTGTCCAATTCCGAGTTTAGCCCGCAGGGCGCATTTTGTATATGTTTGCCCCGCACGACGCGGAGCGCATTTGGTCGGTCTGATTGTTTCGGAGAACCATCGGGAAAACACCCGGACAAACATCGGAACAATCATCGAGATAGCCATCGTGACAACCATCAGGACAACCATCGGGACAACTTTCAGGGCAACCTTCGAGACAACCATTGTGAAAGTCATCGGGGCAATCATGAAGCCAGCCATCGGAATAACCATCTGGACAACCATCGAGATCACCAACGATACATCTGAGCAACCATCGAGATCGGGACAACCATCGATACAGCCATCGAGACAACCATCGGGACAACCATCGGGACATCCATCGGGACAACCATCGGGACAACCAGCACACACCACCAGCCGGGCTGGGCGCGGGGCGACTCCCTTTGGCCTGATTTAGCCTCCACCAGGGCAGGAATTCGCACAGCTTCGCCTTGTTCACATGCACGTCACGCACGACACGAAACGAAACCGAGATCGATGTCCCAGATGGGCGACTCCGTGTCCCTTCGATCTCAGCCCCAATGTTCGACATGGGAACTTTTTGTTGGTTCCCCATTTTCAAAACAAAGGTTGGTCGGACGGCGGCCAGCACGTCTGCAACAAGAACGGCCACAGCTGTTCGCGCAGAGTCGTGGATATTTGAGGGCTGTCGCTTCGTAATGGTTGACTGGCGATTTCTAGAGCAACCCGGGGGTGTTGCAATACGTCCGCTGCACCGAAAAGCTGTCCACAATGATATGACCGCGGCCGTCCAGCCTTCCTCACCATTGCCTGAACAGCCGCATCACCGTGGTCACAGCTGACGTGGACGAGGTATTTGGGGCGGATTTCCCAGCAAGTGTGTTGTCGGCTTGGTCATCTTCCACATCGACATGCATTGCCAAAGACCAGTGCGTCGACCATGGAAGTTGGCAAGGGACGCAGGTGTACTATCCGGTTCGGCCGCCGCGGTCATTCGAGCACGTGGTGGCGCAGCAGCGCGGAAGACATTATTTGCGTTTTGGCGGCCAAGCTGCGTTCGCTCTCTACCCTCCAGCAACGGGTCAAGGAGACGAAGGGAATCCCCATCGGGGGTGTTGTATTCAGCATCGCCTGGTCCATTGCCCTGGGTCTCGCAGAAGTGACGTTGCTGCAAGTTTTCGGCAAGCATTCGCAGGCCGGCTTCAAGTTCCCTGCTTTCCTGCCCAGGCAATCCTGCCCAGTGTGGAACTGAGTTCGCGAAGTTTTTCTCTTCCATGACGCTGTCCCCTTGTTCAGGATTGGGTGGAGTCGATTCAGACGCAGTCGTTACATACACATGGGCGGATGTCGACGTAAGCATGAGTGGCCAGTCCCTACTGCGACAAAAAACCTAACACGCAATGGATGTTTGCAATGAGTGCGCGAATCGCCCCGACGATTTAGGCAGCTCGGGGAGCCTTCCATGATCATTGCGGCCCGGAGGCGTGCATTGCAGCTGTTTGCGGAGCTGGTGACGATAAGGCTTCTGGAGCTCGTGCTTGACTGCCACCTGTCAGTCGATCCAGCACGCATCCTGCGAGCCCTGGTGCATTCGCCCCAGTGAGTCACATGTTACGTTGTCCGCCTGTGGCTGAAATCTTGTACAGCCAGGGCGCTGAAAAAGGAACCCTTTTCGTTTGGGAGGGGCTCCGTGTTCCTTAGTTGTTTTACGGTGATCCTCGGGTTTTCCTAAGGTTTTCCCTGGAACATCTGAGTTTAACTTATGGGAAAAAGGGGCCTCGTTCCTTATATAGATCGTTGGTTATGAGATATACCTTACCCTCATCAACTGGGCAGGCCCTAGGTCCTCCTACTCCCCCTCCCTCTTCGCGGTCTCTCTGATTGTTTTCTCCTCCTCGCCCTCCTCCCCCTCTTCCTCCTCCTCCCCCTCCTCCTCGTGTTCCTCCTCGTATTGTTTTCTCTTCCGAAACCGTTTTGTCGTTAAGTTCTCTGGGTTCGTGATGTCACTGCCAGGGATGGCAAGCCCCATTGGACGTTCGTAGGCTTGCTGGCGGCCCGTCAGCTGGCAGCGACGAGCCGAGGAGAGTGCAGCCGCCGCGGGGTTACAGCGGCACGTCGTGAACATCTGAATCTCTATCTCCCTCTCTCTCCTTATTTGTTTTGTTCTCTCTCGCTGTCTCTCCCTCTCCCTCTCTCTCGCCCCCCACCCTTCTCTCATTACATATATGCATACACAACAAAGTATATTGATGTATGCTATGTAGATCCGCGTGTCAGACCTACACACATACATGCATGCACGTCCATACACATATGCGTATACATAGAAGTACACATGTATCCAGTTACATTTACACATTTGTAAACTGGCTTTATATACACACAGTGGCCTTCGCCCCGTCCCGCCACCGCGACTGGGTTGTAGGTCAGAGGCCTTTGTGGTGCGTGTGGGGATGGATTGGGAGGTCTCTCGGAAGCCTCTTGGATTCGGTCTGGGATTGTTTTGGAAGCCTCTCGGGTGTCTCTTCGGGGCCTCATGGGGCCTGATTTGGGACTGTTGGGGGCCTTCTGGAGCTTGTGTGGTGCCTCTTGGGGGCCTCTGGCCTGCCGGCGGTCTCGGGGGCCATCGTGGGGCGAAGGGCTCGATCTGTCGGTTCGTGTTCCCGGGGCCTTTTCTGGATTCCTCTTGGGGCCTTGCTTGGCTGTCTTGGGGCCATCTTGGGCCGTATGGGGGCACCATTGGGGGCCTCTTGGATCGTCTTGGGGCGATCTTAGCGGGCTCTTGGGTCGTGTTGGAGCGTCGAAGGCCCGAAAAGGCGAGTACCCTAACATCCTTCAAAGACCTACAGCAAGTCAATGGTTTGGACATCTTAAGGCCCCGTTGGTGGGCTTTGTGGAGCCCTCTTGGGGCGTCTTGGGGGCCTCTTGGGCCGTCTGTGCCATCTGGGGTGTCATTGAGCGATCTTTGGGCGACTCGGGGTCATCCTGGACCGTCTTGGGGGCCTCTCGGGGCCCTCTCGGCCCGTCTTGGCGCTTTTGCCTCTGGAGCAGTCACGCGACCGACCCACGAGCGCCCCGTAGCGTCCAGGAGATTTGGGAATTGGGGCTGTGGAGCGCCCAGGAGCGCCCATGAATTTGGGATGTGGGATACACTGTACATGTAGATAAAATGATTGCGTGTATGTATGTATGTGCGTACGTATGTATGCACGTACGCATGTGTGTATGGCCACCGCCACTGTCGCTGTCGCCGTGACCCGAGCTGGTGGCCCTGACGAGGGGGAAGCGGCGGCTGTGACAGTGCCGAAACTTGCACGGAGTCAGGCAAGGCATGAGGGTGCAAACCCGACTTGTCTGGCAGCTGTTCAGGGGGCGACCTGTGTTCAGGGGAGGCTACAGTACCTCTCAACGATGTGCTGTTAACCGAACCTGCAGGGTAGGCCCTTCCTTTAAGGGGATCACCACGATCTTCTCCCTCGGTCATCGTTGGCCTCGCTGGAGTTCCGCGCATGTATGTATGTATAAGTGTGTCCGTGTGTATCCACCTTCTCTGATGTTAACGTGGTCCCTGAGCCAGGCCGTGTATTTTGAATTACTCAGTGCTGCAGCCGAATGGCGCTCCGCAAGGACCACTTTCTGTACAGAGCTGCGGAATGAGCCTGTGCTCGTGTAGGCGCACTGTCGAAAACACGTCTGCGGCGAATCACCGCCGCCCCCTGCCTTCTGGAAGCGGCTGTGCGGCAAAATGTCGAGCGAGGGTGCTGCTAACTCTTCTGGACCGTCTTGGATACCCTGGGGCCTTCGGAGACCGTCTCCGGGGCCTGTCTGGACCGTCTTGGGAACTGCTTGGGCGTTTTTTGGGGCTGCCTTGGAATTCTTGGGCCGTCCTGGGGCCATCTTGGACCGTCTTGCGGCCCTGCTGGGGCTCTCTTGCGCTCTGGACAGACAGGGCCATCTTCATGTGGGGCGTCCAGGGGCCATCTTGGGCCATCTTAGAGGCACTGCGGGGCCATCTTGAGCTCTCTTAGGGGCCGTCTTGGGGCTAGATTGGACATCTTGGAGGCGAATGGTCCGGACGTTGGGGTTGTTTCCGGTTGGCCAGCGGATCGCGCCGAAGACAACTAGGGTTTTTTGGGAAGGCTTAATTCGGCAGGGGGCGGCCGATCCCAGGATCGTCGGCCCAACCCGCCACCGTGCATGCGTCGTGGACCACGAGGCCTCTAGGAGGCTTCTTGGGGGCCTCTTGGTGGTCTCGCAGAGGCGTTCTGGGGGCCTCTTCGGGGCCTCTGCGCAGCCTCCCAGGGCCTCCTGGGGGCCTTTTGGCGGGCGGGTCGTGAGATCCTCTCGGTCAATCGCGGGCGCTCTCCTAAAGACCGACCAGCCGATAATGTTCAGATGATAAAGCAGCTGTGGTTTGTCAGAGAGTTTGGCGCGTCGGGCTGACATCCGGGGCCTCCAAGACTGCAAGAAGCTTCCCGGACGGGTGCACCATGTTCGTGCACGCTGGCGCTTTGGATTTCGAAGCGCGCTCCCAAGGCATTAGGACAACCCCTCGCGGCAAGCTCCAGGAGCGCCCAAGGGCGGCCAATAATCTTTCATGTCTTGGAAGTGGGCCTCTTGAAGAGCACTTGCAACACACTCGGCAGGAAGGACTTGAAGGGTCATGAGAAAATTCCATTCAGTGCCTCGCGGCACAGTGGCGGCTTCAGTGCGCAAGGTGTCTCAATGTCGGCCCGCTGGCTTTCTGCTCCGATGGATCGAAAGAGTTGTTCCTCGTCGGAAGGCGGTGGAAGGTCCGCGGAAGCCCGCGGAAGTAAAACGGCGGCGGCTGCGCCACCAGAAGCCCGCAGCAGTAAAAATCAGCATCCCTAGAGATGGCAATTTTTGTTGTTCTGAGTTTCCCGCATCCGCAATCTATCCGGCGACCTTTCCCTCCCCCCTCGCCGCTATGACCATTTGACGTAGCAGATGTGTGGACTGGATGGGGGCAGCTACGTGCAGGGAAAACCGTAGAAGCGGGCGCACGCGGGAAAGTCCGAAGAGCTCGTGCAACGGAGTGTGAGATGCAAGGATGGACAGGGGAAAAACAACAACCGGACGAACAGCGCGCGGGTCGGTGGTTTTTCGCAGCTCACTTGTACAGGCGTGCCGCAGCATAAAAGACACGTGTGCGCACTCTTCGGCGTCGCGGCGGCCACGCGCGCAACAACGCGGCGAAGGCAGTCGGAGAAGCGTCCAGAAGTACCGCCGAGGCCACTGAAGCGGCCAGAACTCACGGCCAAGGCACGACAGCCAATGTTCGATCGGCCTACGTTTCTGGGGCTACGTGGAAACCACATTTCCGACGCCATAATTTGTTTCGTGACGTGGCCCCCAGGGCGTTCGTCCCCATCCCCAGGACAGGTTCTCCATGACTGACTGGTTGTTTTATTGCCCCAAGGCCCGCAACAGGCCTCTGGATGCCAAACGCAAGTGGACATAATTGCTGTCGCGACTTTTTCGTGACGCTGGAGTTCGGCGCGTGGGGTCAAACGTCGAAGCAAGGACCTGTCATGGTGTGCGTCTTGACTCGAGTACGGCGGGCCCATCTGTGGCGACGAAAGGGCCGCTCGTGGGCCCCAGGGACCAGGATTTGTTTTTGATTTTACTCCATGGCGATGGAGGTCTGGGACCTTGGGTCGAGCCGCACGAAAGGATTGGATAGGGAAAGGGGTGGGGGGCACGAAGTATGATGCATGCAGCTGGTTTCCGCCCCGCCGCCGGGCCTATTCCTCGATTCGTGGGCGCCTCCAGGCGCCAGGAGGCGCCAGGAAAAGCGTCTGCGTGAGCTGATTCTCTACAGGAGGAGGAGGAGGAGGAGGAGGAGGAGAAGGAGCAGGAGGAGGAGGAGGAGGAAGAAGAGGAGGAGGACGAAGAGAAGGAGGAGGAGGAGCAGGAGGAGTAGGAGGAGGAGGAGGAAGAGGATGAGGAGGAGGAAGAAAAGGATGAGGAGGAGGACGAGGACGAGGACGAGGACGAGGACGAGGAGGAGGAGGAGGAGGAGGAGGAGGAGGAGGAGGCTTGCTATCCTGCCCTTTGCGTCCCCCCCCCCATGGGGGCAGCCTGGGCGCAACCTGCCTCTGGCAGCCGTAGGGACGGCGCAGCCGTGGCCCCCGCGGCCGACGCAGCCTTTGGCACGCCGCCCCCGCTCTGCAGAGGGGGCGCGGCGCGGTCCGCCCGCTCGCCGCGTGCGTGCGCACACGCGCGCGCGCGCGCCTGCGCCGCGGCGAGGCGCGGCATGCCGTTTTGATCGGGGGCGAGAAGGCTTCTCCTCCTCTTCCTCCTCCTCCTCCTCCTCCTCCTCCTCCTCCTCCTCCCTCTCCACTCCTTCTCCTTATAGAAAACCTTTCCCTGCCGCACCCCAGGGCCAGTTTTTAGGGCGGGCCGGGCCTCACCATCTATGATTCTGAAGCTTAAGAAGGAACAGCAGTTTCACAGATGGAGGGCGGGCCGTTTTCAAAATGTGGCTCTCGCCTACGCGACGCGCACATTCGTTTTAAAGAAATTGCAAGAGTTTCACGGCTTGAGGGCGGTTCCTTTTCAACATGTGGTTCTCGCTTTAGCGCCGCGCGCATTCGTTTAAAATGATTGGAAGAGTTTCATTGATTGAGGTCGGGCCGTTTTCAACATGTGGTTCTCGCTTTAGCGCCGCGCATATTCGTTTTAAACAGTTGCAGAGCTTCACGGATTGAGGGCGGGTCGTTTTCAACATGTGGTTTGTGCTTCAGCGCCGCACACATTCCTTTTAAACATTGCAAGAGTTTCACGGATTGAGGGCGGTCCCTTTTCAACATGTGGTTCTCGCTTTAGCGCCGCGCACATTCGCTGTCACAATTTGCAAGAGTTTCACGGATTCCCATGATCAACGTACCGGAAGGTGTGTTTTAGCAGGATTCTGGATTACGCGGGTGCAGCAGCTATTTTGATTCGCGGTGTTGAAGTCCCCAACATTGCGCTTTGGCACGATTCCGGATCGTCAAGACGCAGCAGTCAGGTTGATACGTGGTGTTGAAATCCCGAGAACAATGCTTTGGCGTGCTTCAGGATCCTCAAACGGCTATCTTCCAACGAGGCAGTTCCCTCAATGGAAATGGACCGCTGTATGGGGCCAATGAAGAGGGAGCTTGGAGGGAGGGTTGATTCCAACATCGTTGATGACTCTTGGGTTTACACTGGTCCTCCTCCTCCTCCGCCTCCTCCTCCTCCTCTTCCTACTCCTCCTTCTCCTCCTTTTCCTCTTCCTCCTCCTTGTCATCCTCCTCCGCCTCCTCCTCCTCCGCCTCCCTCTGTCCTCTCTGCTCCGCCCTGCCTGTCTTGTCCGGGGGGGAAGTGGGAAGGCGAAGGCTTTCTCAGAGTGCGGCGGGGCTGCTCAGCGAAGCCCTCGCGCCTTCCGACAGGTTCTTTGTTGTTGTGTCTTCGGGGGGGCTCGGACAAGCTTCTCAGAAGGCCGGGGGACTCCCGAGCCTTCTGAGAGTGCCTTCTCCTTCTCACTTCCCCCCCCCGCTCGCTGCCAATTTGTAGGAGCGGGGCTGGCGAAGCCGCCGGAAAGGCTGCTAATGAACAGTTCGGAGGCGACGACGGGGGGGAAGAGTTCTCACCGAGCGCGCCCCACTACTCGCAGAGTGCCTGCTCGCAGACATCTCAAAAGCATGTGTGTGTGCCTCGGTGTGATAGATCTTGAACCCGCAGCGGCGGTTCTAGGCCATCTGCGAGTAGATCTAGCGGGAGGTGGACCGCGCCCGTCTAAGCTCGGGGGGGGAGCAGCACGTGTACCCGCCCCTGGGCCTTTCGCCCCCCTCGTCGCCCTCCGACAGCCCGGAGCCCCCGGGTGTTCGACCGAGACCTTGGTCGGCTCTTCTTCGGCCCTCCCCGATCTCTGCCCCGCCGCTGCACCCCAGGCAGGGCTCATGTCGATTCCTCCGATTCGATTCGATTCGATTTCGAGGATTCCGATTCCGATTCGACATCGGATTCCGATTTGGGATCCGATTTTTCAACGGAGGCCTACTAACTTGCCGATGTCTACCGACTCGACTTCCCCCGACTCGGCTGCCGATTTCCGCCGATCCGATTCGTTTCGATCGCCGATCCGACTTATCGATTCGATTCTGGGCCCTCCTGCCCAGGCCAGCTTCGGCACGGCCTGATGGAGGGTCGGAGGCGGGGGCAGGGGAAGGCGACCTCCACGCCCGTATGTCGCCACAGTATTTGTTCAGTGCGGGCTACTGTGCGATACACTCGCGGGCGTGTGATACGCTGCGCTCTTTCGTCTCTATGTCTGTGTCTCCCCGAGGGTGTGGGGTATACGCTTCGCACGCTCCAGACGGAAGACTGGTGACCGATGGGAGGCACGCCGCCGAATTTTCTCGGGCGGCCCATTTCTGTGGGGCCGGCTTGAGCTCCAGAGCTCCCCAAGTGGCTGTGAGTGTGCCGGGAAATCTGGGGATCCGTTGCGAGTGTTCTTGCGAACCCCTGCCTCCTCGCGTCACGACGGGCGGTTTTGGGAGATCTCCAGCTTCCGGGGGCCCTCACCAGGCCTTGCGACCGTCAAGAAACGATTCGGGACGTTGTCCTGGGAAGAAGGTCGAGACCGCAAGGGGTTCGCGTCGTGAAAAAAACAGCCTCGGAGATCTGGGTGGGGGCGAAGGCCAGGCTATGGCTGGGATCCACTTGTATTCTTGACGCTTCGCGTATCCCCACCAGCGTTTTCCGCTACACTTGCGCGGCTTAGCACTTCGATCGACCTTTCTTGACGGTGCGCGGCTGATTCCGCGTCACTCGCAATCAAAAGCATTCCCACCATCTTATTGACGGCGCGCGGCTCCTCCGCTCGCGCTCGCGAACAAACAAGTATCCCCACCAGCCCATCCAGAAACAATGCCCATGATAGTTGACGGGGGGAGAGGAAGAGACACGCATGGTCAGACAGCGAGGGGTCTTGGGGCCGCTTGGAGCATGTTGGGGAACATTTTGAGCCAGCTTGGGCTATCTGAGCCATCGTGGAGGTCATCTTGGGCTCTCTGAGGGCGCTCGGGGGCCTCTTGGGGGCCTCTCGGGTGCCTTTTGGAGGCCTCTTGGGGCTTCTTGAGGCGCTCTTTGGGCCCTCTTGGGAGCCTCCTGGGAGCCCTGGAGTGCCTTTTGGTGCCATCTTGGAGGCGGTCGGTCAAAAGAGTGAGGGTACTAGATTTGCGTCCCCCCTCGGGGGCCACGATCCTCGTGAGGGGTTGCAGAAAATGGCCCTCCCACTGGCAGAACAATGAACCACCGACACATCGCGACCCCCACTCAAAAAAAACCTCCGGGAGGGGAGGGGGGGGGTCCCCTCCCCGAAGGGCAGAGGGCTGTGGAAGAGGAGAGACACCCTCCTTGGAGCACCTGTCGCCCAAAAGGGGGCTGGTGGGACGTTGTGCCCGTCCGCCTTCCGCTGTAGAGGAGCTCGTCGAGTGCCAGGGGCCCAGATCGCGGCGCAGTGCCCTCCGTGGCCGAGAGGCTCCGGCTTGCGGGGCGGGGCGCTCAGGTCGGGAGCGGAAAAGAGGGGGGTGATGACTAGGGGGGGGGGATTTCATGGCGCGGGCCATGATTTTTCCTCCGAATTCATGGCGCCTCTTCTTGTTTCATTACGTCCCAGGCCCCCCCGCTGGGCCGCGCACGTGCCGCCGGTCATGATTAGCACCCCCCCTCTTGGACACCCCCCTCTTGGCCGCTCCCGATCAGGGTCATGGACGAGCTCTCTCCTCGGGGGCCCGCGGCTCCCAGCAACGAGCTGCTCAAGAGCCCCAGCTCTCTCTCCTCCGCGACCCGTGCTTTCCAGCAGCGGGCACGCCCTCCAAGGACAGAGGACCCGAGCTCTCTCCTCAAGGATTCGGGCCCCCTTGGCTCTCAAGGAATGATAGGGAGGAGCAGGAGGAGGGAGGAGGGCGAGGGGAGGGAGGAGCAAGGAGCGAGGGAGGACGTCTGGATCCGGTGACGGGCGATAGGGCGCCAACTCCCAGGGAGTCGGTCCCGGCATTGCATCTGGGGCTCGACTCCCTACGCTCAAGAATTCTGGCTCAGCGTGTCGCTCCGCCAGTTCTGGCCCACCATGCTTCGGCGCGACACGCTATCCACGGCCCCACTCCCACGCGTCCTCGCCCCGAGCTTTCCTGAGCCGCTTTCGGGCGCCCAGAGCGGACCCACACGCCATCCGCTCGCACAGCACAGCGCGTCTCCTGGACCGCCGCTGCAACTCGCTGGCCAGAAATTCCCGATGACAGTCGGGGGTGGACAGACCCCCTACCCTGACACGTCGGTTCTCGAGAGGGCGCCAGCGGCCGTTATTTTCCAGGCTTGCGCCCGCCAGGTTTGGGCCCGAGGTCGTTTTCACGAAACCACGTTCTGCTAAGGGAGGTCTGTCCATCCCCGAGACAGAGGCCCGGGCGCCCGCCCCCAGGGGCTGCCGTCGGAGGTCCGAAGGTCGGCTGCCTCGGGAGGCTCCCAAAGGAAGACGAGGCCGCGGGCGCGCGCGCCGGAGGCGCCCAGCCCTCCGCGGCGGGCGCGCGCGCGGCCCGTCGTGACCCGCCGCGGCGCGGCAAAAGGTTCCGGGCACGGTCGGGGTATATTCCAGTGCAGTCACCAGGGGGGTGGTCGGGCCTGTCCCCCTACGGGAGGAATATCCAAACAGAGTCAAAGAATAGTCTGGGGGCAAGTCTTGCAATCATATTTCCCTACCTAGGCTCTGCCTAGAAGGGTTCTTATTCGGAAGCTTAAAGGGCCGGGCAGTGGGGCCCGCCCCGGGCGGTTCCCCCAGTATCCGCCCCGCGGTTCCCCCAGTTACGTCCTTTTAGCTTAGCGTTGCTGATCTCATCTTAGCTTAGCTTTTTCCCTACCTAGGCTCTGCCTAGAGGGTTCTTACTTGGTTTGCTAAAAGGGGCGGGCAGTGGAAAACGCCCCGGGCGGTTCCCCCGGTCCCCGCCCCGCGGTTCCCCCAGGTACATCCCTTTAGCTTAGCGTTGCTTATCTAATCTTAGCTTAGCTTAGCTTAGCTTAGCTTAGCTTCATCTTAGCTTCGCTTAGCTGTAGCTTAGCTTCATCTTAGCTTCGCTGAGCTTAGCTTAACTTATCCCAGCGTATCTCAGCTTTAGCTTAGCTTTAGCTTAGATCTAGCTTAGCTTTAGCTTAGCTTTAGCTTAGCTTTAGCTTAGCGTTAGCTTAGCTGTAGCTTAGCTTTATCTTAGCTTTAGCTTAGCTGTAGCTTAGCTTTGACTCAGCTTTAGCTTAGCTGTAGCTTAGCTTTACTGTTACTGCTAATGCTGCTTTCCTAGGGGCTCCAACTCCTAGGTAGGGTCGCACTGGGATAATTTCGTGTTTTTGGATGCTGTTTTGAATATTCTTGATTTTTCGTCCAAAATCCCCCCGTACGAGGACAATGCCCGACCTGACACCAGGGGGGGGCGGTCGTTCGGGGATCGCTCCTCCTCCCCATTCGGATTCGCGTGAGAGCGATCCTTCGCCGGAGCGACCTTCAGTGCACAGCTTTCGCGAGGCGCTGCAAAGCCAAGCCCAAGAACGCAGGGGGGGGTACTGTCGCTCCGCACGCACGGGCACAGAAGCCGCGCCCCAAAGGTCCCTCCTGCCTGGGTCACCCTTGCATGTGGCCGACTCCTCCCCTCCTCCCCTCCCTCCCTCCTCCCCTCCCTCCTCCCCTCCCTCCCTCCCTCCTCCCTCCTCCCCTCCCTCCCTCTTTCCTCCCTCCTCCCCGCCCTTTTCTCCCTCCCCCCTCCCCTCCCTCCCTCCTTGCCTCTCGTCGGGTCGACCAGGAGGGGATACAGGTGCCCCCCTCGGAAGGGTCAAGAGGGTTGAGGGAGGCGGGGGAGCGAAGGAGGAGGGGGGAGGAGGGAGAAGAGAGGAGGAGGGACAAGGAGGGGACAAGGAAGGAGGGAGGCGAGGCCCTCTGCGGACCGCCTTCTGCGCCTGGCTCGCACTACATCCCACGACGACGACAACCACACGGCGACGGCAAGGCGACGACGAGGAAGGCGACGACGACGACGACGACGACGACGACGACGACGACGACGGAGGCGTCGGCGGCGGCGACGGCGGCGACAGCGGCGACGACGACGACGGCGGCGACGGCGGCGACGACGACGGCGCCGACGATGACGACGGCCATGGCCCAGGGGCGTCGGAATTGCACGACCGCTCAGGGGCCCGAGTCTGTGATTCGAGAGAGCTGTTCCTCATTCGCCGTAGTAGTCGTTTCTGTTTTCCGCATCACTAGACTCCTCCTCCTCCTCCTTCTCCCTCATCGCTCCTCCTCGGGACATCGGATGATGATGATGAGGAGGAGGAGGAGAAGGAGGAGGAGCAAGATGAGAATGAGGAGGAGGAGGAGGAGGAGGAGGAGGAGGAAGGGCAAGATGAGAATGAGGCCTCGCTGCGCTCCCCGATGACCAGAATGAGGCCTCCAGGAGCCATTGCAGAGTCCACCCCGTTCTGAACGGCTCCCCTTCCCGTGAGCAAGCCGCTGCCGCCCTCGTCAGCGGGACAACACGGGCCCTGTCGGCCAAGACCCGCGGTTGCCTCGGAACGTGGAGATCCAGCGGCGCGAGTGAGCACCGGCCCTCTTGGCCAGGACCCACAGTTTCCTTTTGGCCG